TATTATTATATTTAAAATAATGAGGAGAGGAGAAAATATTTTGTAGAAATGATTATTATATCAAAACTGTGCCACCAAAAGTTGTACAGGTTTGAATGATAAATGATCAAAAATTTATGAACTTTTATATACTTTTCTATCCACCCTTTTGTCACACCCTACCACCAACTACCCCACTACCATTCCACCCCCTATCCTAAATATATTTTCTTATCATTTCAACTGTCGTTCGTTGTTTTTCTTTTTCTACCTTTTTTTTTTTTTGGTTTGTTTTCAATTACACGTAATGCAATTAACAAATTCGATATGTTTTCTGTGTATTATTATTAATTTTCAATAATTCATGTTGTTTTCTATTTCGTCAGTTCTTTTCCATCATTTTTTCTCTCTCTCTCAAAAAAAAAAATAAATAAAATAATAAAAATAAAAATAAGAAATTAAAACAACAACAACAAAAAATAATAATTAATAAACGATAATAATAATAATGATTTTTTATGGTTAAAATATTCTCGCAACGTTGTTTCCTTTTTTCCCATTAATACCACATATACTATACTATATCTGTTTCATTTTTATTCCCCCTTATTAATATGCATGAATCTGAACACAGCTGCTGCGATATCTTTCACCCTTAATTTTTCATGTATACACGTTTTATCTTTATTTAAACAAAAAGAAAAGAAAAAGAAAAGAAAAAATCGTTCCGTGAAAAAAAAAAAAAATAAAATAATAATAATAAAATTAAATAATAATAATAATAATAGTAATAACGATACAAATTTATGACGTATGTTCCTCGTATGTAGAAATTTGTCAGATTAATTCTCTATCAATAAATACGTTTATTTTTTTTTGTTCTTATTTTTTTTTTTTCTATCGAATCGATCATGGTCACTACTTACGATAATTATTTATCATTAATTAAGAGAAATGTAGTTGTATGGAATAATTAAAAGTCTTCTTTGTGTTGGTTTAGGTGAATCGATAGCGATAGATTATTTTCTCTCTCTCTCTCTCTCTTTCAGTGGCGGATTAAGTCACGTGGAAGTCCCAAAAGGGTTGAAAATATTCTGGGCCCTCATTAACTTCAGTTAGAAAAATTAAAAGAAGTATCATTAAAGTTCCCATTTTTAAATGATAGTTTAAATTTGGTTCTTTCAATCATCTGTACTATAATAATTGTTTAATAATACTTTTAATGAAGTATATTAAAAAAAAATAAAGTTATGTATTTATATTTTTAAAGTATATATGAATAGAATTAATTAGTTATAAATTGATTTGTGTGTGTATAACAGAAAAGATATGATCAATCAATGAAAATACAATGACATGCTGTTGCAAGTATTAATATAAGTCCCCAGTAAATGAAAATCAATTTAAATTAGATTTTAATCATTTTATGAACTTATTAAGAAAAGAAAAATATTTAAAATACATTAGGGACTTATCCGGGGCCTTACGAGATTGCTTAATCCGTCGCTGATTTTATCTTACAATTAGATTTGATTTCATTTAAATTCGAATATCTTAACAAGGATTAGTTTGTCAAAAACACTTGGCCAATGTATGGTATGGTATAATCGAATCTTCGAGCGATCGTGCGAACAGAATGAGAGAACGTTTTTCGTGCGACAATACGTGGGACTCAAAGTGCGACGGTTAACGCAAAATAAATGTTCTTCCTTGAATCCTCTTTTTTGTTCTTTACTTTACTTTACTTTACTTTACTTTACTTTTCTTTTCTATTCTTTTTTCTTCTTTTTCTTCTTCTTTTTTTCTTTCTTTCTTTTATATTCATTAATTTGGTCCCATTCTAGGTACAGGATATTATGCCCGACACGAATTTATATACCAAATTTATATATAACCGATCGATAGAGAAAAATTTCTTTTATCGATGCGTATTCACAATTCGCTTACGGAAATTTTAAAATTAAATCATTTATTTTTATATATATATATATATAAA